CAGAACTTCTGCTTCTCGAATTCGACACGGCTATTTGCGCCTACCACGCCACGAGGCTCTTGCTTTTCATAGCCCGAGCACAAAGAACGCCGGGCTGTCCCTCACCAGAGTTTGCCTTGAGCCGCGCGGCTTTGTGTCTGGCTGCGCTTCAGCGTTTCTTTCCTTCCTCCGCACTGGTCAAGCCCATCATCGACGATATGGAGCGACTTTCCCGGGGCCATGCACCTCAAGAAGCCGGGATAGGCGGGCTATCGTCGCCAGAGTTTCAAGAAGGAAGACGGAATCTAGAACAGCGACTTTCAGAGGTAGCAAAAGCGAGACAGAGGCTGGCAATTCACAGTCTGCTGAGACAAGCCGACTTTACCGACGAGGATGAGGGAGACGATTACTCTTCTTCCATGTCTGCCTCCGGGTTGTCCCCAACCATGATAAGGCGAACGCCCTAGACTCTAGAGGCAGCTTCTAGACTCGGACAGTGGCGGCAGCAGGTCCGGGATGCGTACCCCGCGAAAGAGCAGAGTTTCTACGTCCGCAGTTCGGATAGCTGTGGGCGGCCTTTCTGACGAGGCACCGTTCTGATGAAACTGGTGGAGACGCTGACTAGCAAGTAACTATGCATTTGGGCTCGCTTACTGGTATCGGCAACAAACATATTAACCGAGTATGAACTTGTGGCTCTTGTTACCATTCCTGAGTATGAAAACTCTCTGTTTCTCGTCAAGGTGGAGCTTGGTGTGTTAAACTCTGGCATAGGGAATAAGAAACCAATAAGAAGTTGTAAAAGTTGGTGCATGCGCTTATGCATAGAGCAAAGACGATGATGTGACACGCTTCACGCGATACTTGCTCATACCAGGTGCGCAATATGATCGAACCCAGTAGAGTGGAAAGCGACATCCAAGCCACCAAGAAGGCGGTTCGTGGAGCTGAAATAGACTTTGTCTTTTTCCGCAGGTTACTTAAGCTATTCTGCAGTGTTATGTATTTTTCTGTCAAAGGCCCCTCTCCTCTGTAACCACTCAGCGTTTCAGTCCAGCCTCACGGCGTTCCCGTTCTCTGGGTTGACAAGAACGTACATGTCAGGCGGCGTCTCATGTCCCCTGTTGACATGACTCAACAACAAGGCAAACACGATGATGGCTCAGAGGAACAGGTCAAGAACAACATGAATTTCGAGATGGCGGGCAAGCAGAAAGAGATAAATATCGTTGAAAGCCCGCCAAGATGGTTGGAATAATAATCATCTCCAGCGTACCATCTTACTATTCACTCAACGATTTCATCAACTTTATCACACATAATACCTAAATCAGACTTTCCGGTTAAAGTCCAGCAAAATGAAGTTCTCCGCCGTCATCCTCTTTGTTGCTTCAGTCGCCGCCGTTGCTCTCGATACCGATGTCCCTCCTGCGCTCAGCCAGCCTGGTCGCCGTGGTGTTGACTGCGGGGCTTGCGACAGACTGAACTTCTGCCCTGGCAAGCCCAACAACAATGTCGAGTGCGAGCTTGACGGCTGCTGCAAGAAGTAAACGATTTCCTCGGGCTTCCAACTGAAAATTGAGATATCAACATGTACATCATCAGATCTATTTTCTTTTTAAATCTTAAGGTGCGATACACAAGCTAACAATCACGCAGACAGCGCGCTTCGGATACCCATCACGGTTGCCGTATTTCTGACATGTGGGAACTTGGTGAAGTCAACGTTCAGATGATCAAAGGTCTTAGCAACCTGATCTCAACTACCTTACCTTACCCAATACAATTGTTCAACCAATTTATTTGCAAACTCTGATCGGATGAAAGAGTGCGAATAACATTTTACACCAAAGTTGCGTTCAACCTCTGCAGATCTTGGGTTCTCGAACTGTTCCCAATCCAGAAGTTGCACAGTCCTGTCTCGACTTGCCATTTCCCGTCGACGAAGTAACCCAACTCGGCGTAAGGCACATTGAAGCTGACCTGTGAGGAGCTGCCTACTGCGACTTCAACCTTGCCAAAGCGAATAAGCTTCATGACCGGGAACTCGATTTGACTGTACTCTGGACGATAGTAAAGCTGCACCACCTCCTGGCCATCTCTCGACCCCGTGTTCTTGACTGTCGCAGAGACAGTGACTTGGCTGTCCTTGTCACATTGATTGACAGTGCTGTTGTTACCCACTGAGTGGCATTGGAGAGAGACGGAAGAAATGTTGAAAGTCGTGTAGCTCAAACCAAAGCCGAATCTCAAAGGAGCATAACGTGTCAGTTCTGGCAAGTGCCAATCATACTGCGTCGCCGTCCCAAATCCACCCTGGTCATCGGACAGGAAATAGTCATAGGCCACAGGGAACGCGCCATCGGCTTCCGGAAAAGTGATTGTAAGCTTGCCACTTGGGTTCACACTACCAAAGAGGATTTCGACCAAGGCGTCAGCTGTGAATTCTCCGGCGAGCCAAGTGTGGATGATTGCCTTTGCCCTCTTGGCCGACTCTTCCAGCAGGAATGTCTGACCCCCGCTGAGTACCAACACAGTCGGCACGTCGGCGTTGATCACCGCATCGAGAAGCTGCTGTTGCAACCCGGGAAATCCCAAGTGCGGATGACTGAAGCCCTCACCATCAGTCCGGTGAAGAGACTCGTACGAGTTGTCAAAAGACCCCCAGCCGGACCCGAGAACCACAACGGCAAGGCCCGCTTCCTTAGCTGCGTTGACAGCAGCCTCGATGCCCGAGCTGTTATTCGTGCGCAAGATGTCAACCCCTGCAACATACTTGACGTTTTCCACACCAATTTCTCGCTCTAGACTTCGACGGAAGGTATCGCCATAGGAGGAATCTGAGGCGTTGTTGGCAGCATATTGGCCGGTATTGAGAATGTCGGCATAAGGGCCTAGCAGGGCAATTTGGTGCACTTCGCTTCGCTGCAAAGGCAGCGTACCATCATTCTGAAGCAGCACAATTGCCTCGCGCGACACCTTGCGACTGATCTCAAGATGTTCCTCGCTGCGAAGAGTCGCGCTCAGATTCTCGACCGAGGGAAGAGGCAGATCAAAGGTTCCAGTAGCAAATTTGATCTCAAGAATCGCTCGGACAGAGCTGTCGACAAGTTCGATGACCTCGGTATCGTTCGAATAGTTGATGAGCGTGGGGAATACAGAAGGCGGTCTCGGTGAAAGTTCGTGCTCCAGCCCACTCCGCAAAGCCTTTAGTCCGGCGTCCGCAAACGACTTGGCGACCTTTGACTGAGTATACATGTTGCGAATCGAACCGGCGTCAGACATGATGAGACCTTTGAAGCCGAGCATCTCTCGAAGAACCTTTCTGTTGAGGTACTTGTTCATGGACATGGGAACCTGATCGACGCTGGCATATGATATCATCAGTGACAAGGGGTTTGCCTCTCGAAAGGCCTTGACATAGGGGGCTCCGAAGTCATTGAGGATATAGTTCAGGCCACTCTGAATGCTCGCAGTGTTCACGCCTCCGCTGCTAGAGCCGTAGACCCAGTGCTTGATTGTCGTTGCGACTTTGACGAAGCCGTTCTCATCTTTCTCCTGCATCGTGTTGATGTAGTGCGTCGCAAATTCGCCGACGAGGTAGCTGTCCTCGCCAAACCTAGGTGAAGTCATTAGGAAGAAGTAAGGTCGTTGTTCGAAAGCACTTACATCTCGCCGTTTCTCCCATTTCTGGGATCTTTAGCAAGGTCAACCTCGGGCGACAACACCCAACGAGTGCCCATCGCCACATTTTCGTCACGAATGGCGGCTACGGCTTGTTCGTAAAGAGGAATATTCCACGTCGATCCCATGGAAAGGGCGCCAGGGAACAGAGTGCCACCGGAAATCATGAGACCACTAACAGAGTCGGCGATGGTGATATACGGAATGCCTAGTCTAGTGTTGTTGATTTGCTCGGCTCTAACCTTGTTGGCGATAGGCAACAGATCATGCGCATAATTTTGAGGCGCCCCGAAGCCTACGATATGATCAATATTGACGTGGAGATGTAGGATTACCAAATTTGGCTTACCGATCTGCCCATTCTGAGTCTTCCGGATTTCCTCGAACAGCGTTTCGTTGTATGATATCTTGCCGTTAACAGTCTCTGCAAGTCGTCTTATCCCTACGAGTTCAGGTCACTAACACAGCCCGGCTTTCGCAAGCTTTCCGACTAACCTCCGAGCTGGCCAATCTTTTCCTCCCATGACATGAGACGCAAGAGGTCGTCAGCTCGCTCTGCGGGAGAGCGTGTCGAGTCGAGATAAGCTGATCCATTCGATGCAGCTGTAGCACAGCTAATACGAATGAACTGACAAAGCGCCAGGACCACGAACGAGGTTGCTGATTTGACCATCTTGACGACAATGCATAACACCCTGAGCGAAACCTGGGTGTACTGAGAAAGCAAATGACAACAGTTGCCAGGTTCTTCTCTATTTTTCTGAAAACCTTATATCTTTAGTTGAAAAGCACGCCATTGCAAATGGTCCACCATCAACCAAGAGTTCGGGCCAAGACTCCACTCGAGAAAAGGCTCCAGGATTCCGGCAAGCAAGGCCGGATCGGGTGCCCCACTTGGTTCGCCGGGGCTCCGAAGAGTCAGCTCGGATGTCGGTCGGTAGTCCTGAAGGGGGAAGGCTAGACCGGAGTCTACCCAATCATTCCCATTCCGTGCTGCGCGGTGAGGGAGTGTACCATCCTATCCATGAAGAGCCATGGTGCTTAGAAGCCTCCAGGAATTAGTCGGCGACAGCTATTTGCTGTTCCATGCTAACAAATGCCCCATCTCTGGATCCGATCACTTAACAGGTGTCCTGGGAATGTAGCTAGAGTAGCTCATCACAGTTTGGGTTCTGCGTTTGGTTGTGTTTTTTCTTTGCACGTAAATATTCCCTTGACACCAATTGTATGTCATCGAAAGCACATATAAGGTCCAATAGAAAACGCTGAAAGTGTCTTAATGAGTTGCGTGTCGCTTCATTATCTACATGTCTATCTGGGAGCTGTCGATAGTATTCCTATGCTTTGCTGCTGCCCTTGTTGTTTTCAGGTTGCCTAACGCTCCTCCACTCCAAAGCCAAAGCACCAAAGATGGCGAGACACACGAGGACCAGGCCAACCAGAAATACATGTCTGATCGCCTCATTGTAAGCAATCAGAGCTGTATCCTTGATGGCGGCGGGGAGGTTTGTTAGGGAGGTAACACCGTTGTCCAAAATCTTCTGGGCATCAAGCCCGGGAACTGAAGAGAGTCGCTCAAGCAGCTGGGTATTGAGGATGTTCTGAGCAACAGCCAGGAAGATGGCTCCGCCAATGAGCTGGCCGAAGAACATGAGGGAGATTCCCACCGGCACATCCTTCTTCGGCAAGACTGTCTGGGCTGCTAGGTTTGGTGCTTGTGTTGACAGGCCCAATCCGAATCCGTAGATGATTTGGTATCCAATCCATTTGCTGCTGTCAGTGTTGACCTCGAATGTGTAAATCAACCCAGCACCGACAGCCATTAGGCAGATACCTCCGATCATGAATGGTGTGTAGTAGCCGATGCGACGAACAAGGGCGCCCGTCATGAGCGTGGCGACTACCATTGAGAGCATGAGGGGTAGGAGACGGATTCCGGACTCGACAGCTGAGACGCCTTTGATAGCCTGGAACCAGATCGGTAGATAGTAGGCTGATTTCCCATTAGTCTGAGTAACGTGCGAGTTCTGTGCTGTTTGTGTAACTTACAGAATATCATCAGTTGCGATCCATTGCAGATGGTAGCGTAGACACCTGCTAGGATACTGCGCTGCGTAAAGATTCTGCCAGGGAGCGTGGCTGTCTTGGGCATGAAGATCTGGACCAGGGCAAACCCGGCGAGAAGAATAACTGCGAGCACCAACAGAAGAATGATTCTCCAATTATTCCACTAAGAGCCATGGTCAGAAATTGCAACCAGATATGTTCCGGAGATGTAGACTCACAGCATACGTCGAGCCACCCCATTCCATGGCCAGAATGAGAGACACTGATCCAGGGATAAGCAGAGCGGTACCAAAAAAGTCAAGCTGCGCCAGCTTGGACTTCAAATCAAGCTTTGTGGTATCTCTGTCAGGAATGGCAAGGATCAAGAAGATGATGATGCCTGCCAAGCCTCCCAAGGGGAGGTTGATATAGAAGCACCATCTCCAGGTGACTTTTGAGGTGAAGACGCCTCCAAGCAGTGGTCCGACCACGGAAGAGACGCCGAAGATGGCACCGAAGAATCCTTGGTATGTGGGACGTTTGCGAAGCGGGACGGCATGCACGATGATGACAACCTGAGGGAATGCGGGTTAGACCTTGATTTGACTGCGGGATAGTAGACCCAAGACTTACTACGCCGCTGAGGATACCAGCCGCACCAAGTCCAGCAATGGCTCTCCCAATGATGAATGACACTGAATTTGGAGCCGCGCCACAGATTGCGGATCCAACTTCGAAGAGGAAAAGGGAAGTAAGGAACGTGCCCTTGACGCTGAAGAACGTGTAGAGTTTGCCGAAGAGGAGTTGTGAAGCGCACTGGGTAAGGAGATATGCCGATCCGTACCAGCCTATGTCAGTGACGGAGTGGAACTCGTCGGTGATTTGGGGGATGGCTGTTGTGATAATCATGCGATCCTGTGAAACGGTCCCGTTAAATCATTGTCTCTAGTTATTCGTGGTGTGGTTGTACAAAGTTAACTTACCAAGGAAGTCAAAAACATGCACATGAAGGCAGACGACATGATGCAGGCGAACTTGAGTCCTGTCGGATACTCTGTGTCATCTACGGGCTTTCCTCCATCCTCGAGCTTCTCTGAGACGTTCTTCTCGGTCTTGATATCATTGTTGTTTAGTGATGGCTCAGCAATAGTCGAAGCTCTTGACTCGTTGTCGTGGGATGGTGTCGATTCAGGATGTGTGGTTGATGGAGTTGCCATCTTGAAGGTTTTGTTGACGTTAAAACGTGTTGGGATACTGGGATCAGACTTTTGGCGGACTTGGTACTGGAAGTAGACTACTTTGACCAGATTAAAGCATTAGAGATTGGGTGGACCAAGTGATTGATATCTGAAGTAAGGTTGAGGCTGTTGAGCTGAAAAGACGAGAAGCCAAGACCTCGGGATGCCATTTCTTTATACATGTTCAAGAGAAATAATGTCTTTCAAGAGACTGACTTTTGAAAAGTCCGTTGTCGGAAAACGGCAAGAACAAGCTATCGTAGACCCATTGCTGATGCATCTTTGGTTTAGACCGTCGATCCTCCCAGACATCTCGGGCCCGAAATATCCAAAAGAGGCTAGACTTCTCTGAGATTCTCATAGTAAGGATGGAGCAATTCATCAGACGGAAGCCGAAAAGAAACGCTAAACTGCTTTGAGACCCGAGATCCCCGACATCTTCCTTCGCGCCATCCCGACGGGCATCCTTCACCACAAGTAACCTCACAACCGTTACCGGACATTTTCCAAAAGTCCGGGAAGGGTCCGAATATCTTATGAGAATCAATCAATCAAATGTGCATGGATACTTGTTTCGCCTCAAGCAATCCGTCTCTCATTTCTCACCGTTCTGCCCATGGCGACCCCGCAACCGACAGCTCTTGAAGGGCAGCATAAGCACGCGTGCTCGCTCTGCGCAAAGAGGAAGATCAAATGCGACAAAGCTGGGCCATGTTCAAACTGCACAAAGGCACAGGCGCAATGCCTCTACGAAGGACCAGCTCCGCCGCGACCTCGAAAACGAGCTGCTGACGAGGAGCTCCTTGCGCGCTTGGCCGCATACGAGGACTTGATGCGGAAGCACGATGTCGACTTTACGCCGTGTTCTCATGGTTGGATTACGTCTGGGCCTCAGGGGCGGATCAAGCAAGATAAATCTGAGGCGATATCCTCTGCGACGTCTCCGCTCGATCACCAGAGCTCAACGACTCAAGTGTTGAAGGGTAGTCCCTTGACAACAGAGCGGTCAGTGTTAGGACGGAGTAGAATATGGCGTCACTTGCTGATTAGACATACTCAGTTGTCTTTGGTCAACTCTCCCGGCAGAGGTAAGAGTCGCCGTGCTGTTGAATAGACGACTAATATCTGACTTGCATTACAGCTAATGTACCCGCCCGTGCAGTGCCTCACTCGTAAAGAAGACCCTCTGCATATCCCAACGCCAGCGCTTCATGTTTTGATGACGACCGTTCAACCCGAACTCTCACAGCTCCACCCGGACCCAAGGCACATCTGCCGATTTTGGCAGATCTTTGTCGAGGCCGTCAACCCATTGTTGAAGATCATCCATGTGCCGACTCTACAGCAGCAGGTCCTGGACGCAAGTTGGAATCCGGCCGGCGCATCAAAGCCGCTTACAGCCATGCTATTCGCCATTTACACTCTAGCTGTCACCTCCACGTCCATTGAAGGCTGCCAGACTACCTTTGGCGAGGCCAGGAGCACGCTCATACTGCGCTATCGGACCGCCGCTTTGCGTGCTCTCATTGCAGCCGACTTCCTCACCACGCGAGACTTTGAGGTTTTGCAAGCCTTTGTTCTTTTTCTCTTTTCTGACCCAGATTCGGAGCTGACATCCACTCTGACCGGCGCCGCAATCAGGATCAGCCAGAAAATGGGTCTGAACAGACCAAAGCCAGATCCAAAAGTATCGGTATTCGAGACTGAAATGCGTATACGTCTATGGTGGCAGTTGAACGGGTTGGATTCTAGAGTGAGAATCGTCAAAATTGCGGGCATGCGACTCCCACCATCCGAAAGTGATTTCGGCGATGTCCGCCTCCCGCTCAACGTCAACGACGCCGACTTGCATCCGGAAATGGCGGAACTGCCACCGGAGCACCCGGGCGCAACGGAAATGCTCTGCGTGTTGATGAAGTTTGAGACCTTTAACATCATCAGATCCTCCAGTAGAGCTGTCAAGGTCTTTGATGTCATCATACACGGCCCTGGGAAAGACAAGCCTCCATCAAAACTAGAAGATGATGCGATCAACGAGATTGAGGCCATTTACCACGAAAAGTTCATTCGGCACCTGGATAGGAATATTCCTCTCCATGCTCTGGTGTATACCATGACCAGGCTCACGCTAGCTCGCTTCCGGTGCAAGGTGCACAGCCCGCGAGGCCGGGCTAATAGCAATGGGGAGGTGTTCATGACGCGCGAGGAGGGTGATCTGGTTTTCGACTGGAGTGTGACTTGGCTGGAGATGATGGAGATTGCTATGAGCAGCAAGTTCTCCTCGCACTTTATCGCGCATATGACGACGAAATTTACCGTGGATGTCTACATCTATATCATTAGTGATCTCCGCAAGAGGGTCTCTGGTGAGCGGGTCACGTTGGCTTGGAAGCTTATAGAGAGTCTCTACGGATATCATCCGGAACTGATTGAGAACACGGAGAGTTCCTTCTATGTGACGCTAGGGGACTTGACATTGGAAGCTTGGGAGGCTAGGAGGAGAGAGTTGGTCAATATCCAGGGGAGTCATGAGGCCGATAATCCGCCCCGGTATATTTGCTTGCTTCGGGAACAGAGGCAACAGAAAATTGCGCCAGTTTCACAGGTGTCTGCGGCAGACTTTCAAAGTCTTGACCCTCTGGGACTCACCGATTCGGCAAACTTGGACTGGGACTATTGGAATGATTTTTTACGACTGTAGTCAGGTTGTTGTAATGGCAATTCCGACTTCAACTAGTATTTGCCTCTACATTGCAATTGCCCATTTGTGAAACTGAGACTCTTGAAGGTGGAGTTCGAGTTGCGGTGACTCTATCTAGTTCAAGCTTACGTTCCATCGCCAATGCGGGCCAGCGCATCCTTGTACTCAGAGCTAACGAACCCTTCGCCCTGCTCAGGTAGTAGTGAGTACGCACATCGTAGCATGGGAACACCAAAGTCCCGTTTCAACCCTTGCGCTCAATGACTGAGAGCCAACAGTTACGATGGACCCTGGATGATGGGATCAAAGAGACAATGTTGTTAATACATCATCCGAATATTCCCCATCTGGAGATTGGGCCGCGGCACGCGTCTAGTCAGCAACATCCCTGCGCAGCCCACGAGTACGACGTTGTTGTCATTTGACAGTCGGCAAGCATATTCGATTCTTCAGCGGCACCTGCCTGTACTTGGGGAACTACTCATCGTCTTCCAGTCTACTTATGATACTCTACGAACTTAAGGTATTTTCCCCGGCGCAGGAAATCGACATTATGAGATTTGCGTTCCTTCGCCAGACTATTCTTAGTGACCCTTCCCCGCATCTTTGGTCCCCTCTTTTCCCACCATGATCGTCCGCCAACAGCCCCATGCCGACACACACTGAATGTATCCCTCCTCAACACTTAACTCCCCGACGAGTCAGAAGACGCCCATATGGCGTATGAATGCCTCTAGGACCTAGGCTCGTTGTATAAGTCAAGAATTCGCGCCCGAGTCCGAAGTCATCTTGCTAAAAGGCACTAGAAGAGACCAGCCGACGAGCCCTAAACTTAAAGCTGCCCAGCTGCGCCATCCGGAAAACATGGAGCGAACTGGAGCAGCCCACTTAGTCTATCATAGTGTTGGGGAACCCTGGAGTTGTAACCTAGCCAATTTGGCAAATCAAATAACCTCAATTGGCTGGGTCGGTTAAGCGCCCACACCTCAGACATGCTTCCCCGTATCAACTTCGCCCCATAGTTGTCCTGCCTAGTGCAACATAACATCTACATCCGTACTCTGTTGAGTCTGTTGTGTCTAGTCTGTCTGCACAATCACTGCGTCTGCATTTTTATGTGTCTATGTATCATTGCCATCCCATCCCCGCACCCGACAACTAGCTCCTCCTCCAGGGTTCTGGTCACATCGGGGTCTTCAGTAGCCCCTCCGCTTGTCCGCAACCTGCGACGTGTTCGCCGCCATCTGTGCGGCCATGTGGCCCCTTGAGCTTCTCGAAATGCAGCCCCAAGCTTCCAAGGGCCCCCTCCTCTAGGCCTTTGTCTCTCTCTTGTCAACAGATCAGCGCAACGCGGAATCTCGGCGGAATACACCCTGCTTGCATTCCGCCCGAGCGTGCGTAACAGCCCTGTGGATTTTTTCTCCAAACGCTGCGACGTGGCGTGCGGAGAAGGATATATAAAGTAGAGTAACCATCGCGGTCCGCGAGCCGCTTGTTTGTGCTGGTTGCTTCATCCCGACTCTCTGCTCAACACACTCAATCACCCCCACGCGCGCCTGTGTTTTTGAAATCTTTTGCCCCTCAATTGAGTTTACACTGACTTTGCGAAAAACCGTAGCCATGGGTCTCTACAGCAAGCTGGTGGATGATATTACAGAGGTGGACGTGATCATTGCTGGAGGTATCTTGCAGGACTTCTACACCCCAACCAACAATTTTCACGTATTGACTCTTCAATCCTAGGCGGAACAGCAGCTTGCGTCCTCGCTGGTCGTCTCGCGGCCGCCGACCCTCAATTGTCCATCCTTGTCATTGAAGGCGGCACGAACAACCGCGATGTTCCCAATGTCGTCCACCCCGCCTTCTTTCTGGACCACCTTGCCCCGACGAGCAAGACCGCAATCTTTTACCAGGGCAACGTATCCGACAAGCTGGCAGGTCGCGGTCCCATTGTCCCGGCTGGAGGAATACTCGGTGGCGGTTCCTCGATTAACTTTATGCTGTATGTTACCGAATCTCTGTCTCTCCCCTCCCCTTAATGCCCCCCTCCTCTCTCTTCGACTCTCTCGGATCTCCAGCCCCCCTCAAGTTCGTAGCCTCAACCCGGCATCCGATGAGACATCCCCAGCTTCGCCTCCTTCATCCCCCCATATCCGCTCCCACACGATCCATTCTGTCTGGACCGTTTCATCCCGTACCCCGGATGCGGGGGCGGCAGTTAGCACCGGGATGGAAGGGGAAAAGTTGGGGTAGCTCCATTCTAGCTCGTGGCACATGAGCTCTTCTGACTCCCTCATGACGATCGACGTCCCCTCCACGAGCCAAGCTAACGAGTCATGGTATTGCCAGCTACACCCGCGCCCAAAAGTCTGACTTT